TGAATCCAATGATTGGAGTTGGGCTGGTCCAGAGTCAAGAGCCAGGAGCCCTCTCTGGGTCTTCCACATGAGTATGAGGGACCAAAGCCTCTTCCATGGCACTCCTGGCACACCAGCACGAAGCTGGATCAGAGGTAAAGCAGCCGGGATTGAAGTGGTGCCCATATGGGATGCCAGCACTGTAAGTGGTAGCTTTATCAGCTATACCACCTCCTGCCTCTCTTCTGATCTAGCTTCCTGCTAAGGCACACCCTGGGAAGCAGTAGGTGATGGTCCACCTGTTTGGAAGATCTTTCTGTCTTTCAAATAAAATAAATAAATAAATATGCATATATATTCACATATATATTATATATTTTAAACCCAAATGAGAACAAGCTAGCTTAGTGTCGGTCTTTGTGGCTAAGAGGCCCAACTCCCATTTGAGCCCCAGCCCTGAATGACAGCTAGCTTGAGGGGCCAGGTGGGCATAGTTGCAAGCACCGGGATCCAGGCCCACCCAGGCCTGGGCCAGCACCCAGTGTTGCCTGCCTGCAGGGGATGGCGACCTTTATTCTCCACGGTTAACAGGAGGACTGAGATGGCCCAAGAGCCTGCCTCATTTGATGCCCGGAACAGGCAGGGTGCTTGATAAATGAGCACCATTGTGTGGCTTTGCCATGAGCCAGCACCACCAAGGTGGACTGGACCAATGCCTGGGTCACTGCAGGTCGCACCATGGTTCCTGGTGACCGCAGAGCCACACGTGGGAGTAAAGCAGGGGCTGAGCTGGGCCAGGCGGAGGGGCCCAGTCCCTCAGAAACACTGGCCAAGCAGATTGTGGACGGCAGAGGTAGCCAGGAGCCACCTCCGGGTAGGGCTCTGAGAGCTTGGTCTGGGGCCCAGGCCAGATGGGACTGAGGCAAGACACAGAACCAGGCCCATGTGCCCAGCAAGCTGTGCCAGACCAGCCCGCGTCGGCCCAGCCAAATCTTGAGTTATATCAGGAGAAAGGATCTGTTAGAAAAACTCGCCCATCTTTGTGAATCTGCATATTCTATTTTGGGGTCTCTCTTCCTTTTTTTTTTTTTTTTTGGTTTTCCTTAGCTTCCTAGAAAAGTTCTCGTGATCAATTCCAATGTCACCTCTGCTGAACCCCCTCACCCTCACTCCTGCCCTTTCTGCTCCCATGGACCCACCTGCTCTGCCCTTAAACCCTGAAGCAGCGTGCCTCTGGGTCTACCGCAAGATCCCCTCAAGGTCACTGTGGCTCAAAACCCTGGCTGGGTCACACTGCGCCATCCTGGGCCAGCTCCTACCATATGCTCTGCTGTGGTGACCCCCCCATGCCCAGGCCCTCCCTGGCTATCTCCTTTAAGTATGCCATCCCCATCAGAAGTGGGATCACCTCAGGTGACCCAAGCCCAGTCTGCACCTTGAACTTCTGCCCTCACCCCTGGGGGACATCCCCGCTATCCAGTGCCCACGGCACCTTGGCAGGATGTGTGTGTTGTGGGTAGGGAGCGGGGAGCTCCACGTGCACATTCCAGACCCTAAAGTAGCTCCCTATTGCTGCTGTACCACCTCCCCCTCACAGCCTGCTGCCTCCTTTTCCCCACCCCGCAGCAGAGCTGGGCTGTCCCTCACACCTCACTCAGCTCAGGCTGAGGCCCCCACCCCCGTGGCCCATCTGGAGGCAGCGTATCTCCTAGTTGCCTGCCCACCCCATCTCACTGGCCCCGTGTTCAGTCTCCACGCAGCTGCTGGTTATCTCACAGTGGAATCTGCATTCCCTCCCCACAGCCCTGCCACAAGCCAACCAGAAGGGGTGGCCTTCCGGTGAAGCCCCCAATCTAGCCTGACCCCCTAAAGCCAAGGGCAGCTCTGAGTGAGACAGACCCAGGTTTCCAGGCCAGCTCGTCCCAATCCCAAGTGTAAGACCATGTCACCCTGTGGTCCTCGCATTTCCCTCCTGATGGAGAGGGCAATAGAACAGTCACCTTCCCCGCCCAGAATGGAATTATCTAACCCTTGAAGTGCTGCGTCCCTGCTGCAGGCCAGTGGATAGCTCCCCCTTCCCAGTCCCACCCTCATTTGCACACGGCAGCCCCACGCCCTGGTCTGCTCCATGTGTGGCCTGGTGATCCACCTGCTGTTCGGCCGGCAGGTGCACATAGCACACGCATCTTTCTGCCCTTCCAAGCACACACACATCCCTAAGTGGACCCCAAGGAACTAGCTCCCCATTACTGTGAGCCCCCCTCTTCAACCCCAGCCCCTTACTAATATGTCTGTCCCTGTACCAGCACAGCTCTCTGCAGGAGAAATGATGTCCTTGTGTTGACCCGGCACACGGAGACAGCAGCTCCGTGCTTTGCTGAAATGAGTGCGGGAAGCGACCACGATGAGGAAACAGTCCCCTGGGTTGGCGGGAAGCCCCAGATTCAGCAAAGAATACTTATCAGATTACATAGAACTGGCCACAGGAAGCACGGGCCCGGAGGGAAGGGCTGACAAAGGAGGCAAAGGGAAACCGTGGGTACCTGCTCAATTCTGGGAAACAGCAGAATGGGGTTGGGTGGAGGGGCGATAGCTCCAGGGACAGGGCACTGGGCTGGGGGAGCGGAGCCAGTTGGGGCCACCCGGTGCCTTGGGAGGCAGCATACCTCAGGGTTCAGCAGAGCTTGCTGAAGAATGGAAGCCAGGAAGATGGCTCAGGGGGAGGATCCACTTGACCAGTATAGATCCTCCAGGACTGAGCTGGCAGCGGCCAGAGGCGGAGCTTGCTGGTTTTGGTGGGAGGCAGCCGGGCTGCAGGCAGATCACTAAGGTACAGGGAGACCTGCACACACAGGTCTGCAGGGTTGAGTCCTTACTGCCAAGGCTAATCCTAGGCTCATGTGGGAAATGCAGAGATGAGCGTGTGGCCACTCAGGACTTCTGTGTCCACTACCAGAGTACCTGTTTTCCCATCTAGGCAACAATCTTTCATTTTTTGAAAAGATTGATTTATTTCAGGGCCCAGTGACATAGCCTAGTGGTTATAAATCCTCACCTTCCATGTGCTGGGATCCCATATCAGTGCTGGTTCATGTTCGAGCTGCTCCACTTCCTTTCCAGCTCCCAGCTGGTGGTGGCCTGGGAAAGCAGTAAACGATGGCCCAAAGCTTTGGGACCCTGTACCTGCGTGGGAAGCCTGGATGAAGCTCCTGACTCCTGGTGTCATCAGATTAGTTCAGCTCTGACTGTTGTGGCCACCTGGGGAGCGAACCAGCAGATCTTTCTCTGTTATATCACCTTTCCAACAAAAATAAATCTTAAGAAAAAAAAAAAAAAAGACTGATTTATTTGAAATGTAAAGTATTTGAGATCTTCTGTTGGTTCATTCTCGAGATGGTCATGACTGGGGATTAGGGAATGGGCCAGGCCGAAGCCAAGTCTCCATTTGGGGATCATGGGCCCAAGACTCTGGCCCATCTTTCACTGCTTTCCTAGATATATTAGCAGGAAGCTGGATCAGAAAGTAAAACAGCCAGGACTCAACCCAGTACTTCGAGAGGGGTCACAAGGCATAGCTTGCCCTACTGTGCCACAGCGATCCTGAGCCCCACTCAAGCTGGGAGGCAGTGGTGATGGCTCAGGTGCTGGGACTCCTGCCATTCTCACAAGACCTGAATGGAATGGGCTCCTGGCTTTAGCCTCATCCACCCAGACCAGACCACAGTGAACGTTTTGGGGAATAAACTGGTAGAGGGAGCTCTCCTTTTCTCTGCCTTTCAGATTGTTTTATAAATGTTCTAGTGTCTTAACAGAAGGAAAGGAATACAGAGACATTTCCGGTTTTCTGGAGAGGACAGGGAACCAGGCCCAGCTCAGGCCACAGGCGAGACTGGGTGCTTCTCAATGCGCCTCCTCGTAGGAGTGTCACCAACGAGGCAGGTGCTGTGGTATAGCAGTGAAGATGCCAGAGTGCCTGGTTCGAGTCCCAGCTCCTCCTCTCCTTCTGGTCTAGCTTCCCGATGACATGCCATCCTGAGAGGCAGCAGCTGATGGCTCTGGCGGCTACACATGGGCCACCCACCTGGGAGGCCTGGAATGCGTTTTGGGCTCCTGGCTTTGGCCTGGTCCAGTCCCAGGTGCTGCAGGCATTTGGGGAGTGAACCAGTGGATGGATTATCAGTGTCTGTCTCTTTCCAATACAATAAAAAATAAACAAACAAAACCAATCCAGCACTGACAAACTGGAGGTGACCCAGAGATAAGAACTTAATATGCTAGGGTCCCCACTAGGACAGGTCAAAGGGGCAAGTAGAAGCCCATCCCCCATGAGCAGCACCCACAGACGGGAAAGGAAGAACGGCCGTCCATGTGAGCGGTGACCGTTCCCTCCCAGGGCGACAAGCAGCAGCCCAGTGGCCAGGATGGGACAAGGCACACAGAGTGTTGGCCAAGATCCAGGACAAATCTTGGAGCTTGCTGCCCTATCGGCTCCCTGTGCTGCAGAGGACACCGTGGGGAGCACCAGGGGGAACAGGGAGATGGAGCAGCAGTTGGGGGTGGTGTTAAACCCCAGCCCTGTTTCGGGTGGTAGTGCTGTGGCATACTATCATAGAACTACTCTTACTTTTTGCCTTTATTCCTGGAGCAGCTCTGGGGCCAGGATTCTGGCATCGTTACCACCTGGCATCAGGGGATGCTTGGTGAGGCAAGGCACAGGGGAGGCACAGAAAGTCTTTCAGAAGCCTTTGGGAGAGGAGTGGTGCGGAGGGCAGGCTAGCCCCACCTGCCCCCAGGAATACTCAGATGAATGAGCCTCTGCAACCAAGACCAGCGCTGCTCCCTGGTACCACGGGAGCAAGACACACACACACACACACACACACACACACACACACACACACACACACACACACACACACACACACACACACACACACACACACACACACACACACCTTCCTTGTGCTACCACCTCCACATGTTCCAACCAGCCACAAAGGCCAAGTACTGGACAAGGCAGAAGAGTCGACCACTATCAGCTATATTGGGGAGAGGATGGGTGAGGGGTGGGTGGCCGTCTCTGCAACCTGCTAAGGGCTCAGAGGGCCAGGGTGTTCATGGGGCTCCTCCAGCAAAGATGAGCTCCAGGGCTGCCTGGATGTCACCCCCGGTGGCCTGCAGGGCTCGCAGGCTCAGCTCATCATCCTGGATGCCCATGTCGCGCAGCTGCTGCAGCTGGGTTTGCCATTGGCTCTGTGGAAAGACAGGAGCACGTGGGACTGTCACTAAAACCCTGAGGAAGGCACGATCATGGAGGCAAAGGAAAGTGGGGGGCCTATGGTGGACGCCAAGCTTCACAGTACACAGGACTGCCAGGAGACAGGCTGGGGGTGGGGGCAACAAATCAGAGTTTTACCAGGAACACAAGCAAACTCAAAATCACTCCCCTCTTCCTGTCTTGGCTGCATGACTTTGAGCTTCTGGGCCCTGAGAGGTGCTCTCTCTTGGGAGGACTGAACCACATGCACTCTCACTTCCTTCCAGTGCTTTCAGAGCCTACATTTAGTTTCTTTTATCAACTGACAGAGGCGTATACAACTTAGGGAAAAAGGCACACGTGGGCAGGCGAAGGCTCGGGTTAGAAATGCAGATTTGGAGTGGAGCAGCATGCCAGAGAAAGAATGAGCCAGAGGGAAACCACACACATCAGCTTGGCGTCACTGGCCAGGCGGGTGGGACAAGGAGCTCCAGAACCAGGCGAGCAAGCCCACGGGCCCTGGCATGGTGCACACATCCTACTGTGCTCCCCCACAGGTCATGAGGTCACCCCTGGCAGTGATGACCACAGGGGCACAGTCCTGAGCCCTGGACAAGGCCTGGTGTTCGGGGGTTGCCCAGTGTGAGAGTAGAGCAGCTGGACCCCAAGGTATCAGCACGCTGATACATCCAGGCCCCTCTTCCTCACACTCTCTGGCTCCTGGTCAGAGCACCCTGGGGCAGTATTTGAGGTCCCACCCTCTTTCCTGGGTTCTACTGCCAGGTCTTCCCCACCAGGAAGCCTGCAGCCCTACACACCTGCTTCAGCATGGCTCACCTCCCATGGACAGGGGTTTCCACACTGTTTCTTTAGCACACTACCCTCTCCCCTGGCCATCGTCCTGGCCCAGGCTTTCATAACAGCAGCAGGGTCTCACATCTTGCAGCTCCCAGATCCCTCCCTGTGCCGCCAGGGAGGAGGGCTGCTGGCCCTGGCTGCTGCTCTTGGACCCGGGCCCAGGCCACACCTGTTTGCTGACTCGGTGAATGGTTGCCTGCCTAACATGACTGTGATCCCCCGTGGTAGGCAGGCAGTTTGTGGGTGCTGGGGGCAGGAGCCGAGAAGCCACAGGGACGGTGGCCCCACAGTTGCAGCCTATGTGAGATTAAGCACGTGCCAACCGGGAAGCGGGCAGTCAGACTGACCTGTGGGCTTGGCTGCCCCGAGGCCTGCAGGGCGTGCTGCAGAGCCTGGCTGAAGAGGTCACTGGTGATGGGCGTTCCAGACTGTGCACCGCTGGAGGATAGTGGGGAGGTCCCGGAGGAATGGCCCTGCAGGTGGAGCAGGGGTCAGCCCCAACCCTCAGCAGAACAGAAACGGGTCGCCCGCTGGTCCATCACCCCACACCCCACACACAGCGAGAGTGACCTGAGCCACACAAAGGAATCCCCCAGGGCCAGCAGAGCCCGATCCATTCCTGCTCTGGGGCCCACTCATGACAGCCTAGGCTGCTCCATACCTGGGTGCCGGGAGTTGGCGTGTGAGAGCTGCTCTCAGGGGTGCTGGCCAAGGCCAGGGCGGTAGCCAGCTCACTCTGGGTGATGGGCCGGGGGCCAGCAGCCCCACTGTAGCCCAGAGAAGCTGGGCGGGAACTGGAGGTGCTACTGGAAGGCGTGGGCCGGGCACTCTGGAGATGGGAGAGATCCAGAATTGAGGAGATGGCACCAGAGATGCCCAGCAGACCCCAGGAGATGCCCCAGGCTCCTGGACTCCAGAAAGCAGCTTTTAGGGCCCTGCCTGGGCGCCCAGGGTGGGCCTGTTCCCTGGCTCTCCCCCGCCCCAGAGGGCAGGCAGCCAGGCCACTCACAGGCTGGAAGTCATCCTCGTCATCTGAGAGCCCGTCAAACAGGAAGCCACCTGGAGGAGGGAGTAACAGACTTCAGGAGGAAGAACAGCCAGGCTCAGGCGCGGCTCCAGGCAGCGCGAGCCACTCTCCAAATTCCTCATGTCATCATTCCCCTCGGAAAATTACAGGACAGATGCACTTCCTGACTCAAACCAAGCTCCTGAGGAACGCCCTCTGCCAAGGCTATACATAGCTGAGAGGGGTGGGGAGGGGGGAAAGAGCAGATCGCTGCCCCCCCAACCCCACACATCCTCAGACGGGGATGGGGGCGACACTCACCTGGCATATCCCGGTACGAGCTGGAGGGCAGGCTCCGTGAAGAGGAGTCAGCCCCTGGCATTGGAGTGCTGCCTGCCACTGAGTGCAGTACCAGGACGATGGCATTGACTAGGGCCGGGTGTGCAGGCACCAACCTAGGACAAAGATAGAGAAACCCCAGGTGGCTCAGCAACTCTGCCCAGATGCCCCTCCTACCAGCAGGGCTGCCTGTGCCTGACTTTCAGCATCTCCCACTAGGAACCACAGTTCTCCTGTGCATGCGTCCCAGCCATGGCAGCAAGGCCTCAGGTTCAGGGAGGGAGGGAGGGAAGCCTTGGGGGGGCAGGGGCTGGTCTCAAGACCTGCCACAGATGCAACAATTTCACAGATGCTCATGTCCCCTAATGCCAAATGGCCCAGGGCTGGCGCAGCACCCAAGCGCAAGCACCAGATCACTCCTAACACCAACAACGGCATGAACACTCCAGGCGCAGTTGTCACACTGCCTTAGTCACAAGGACAAGCAAAGTCTGCACTCTTCCATGTAGACGTTGGTTAACTCCTCAGACCCAGGCCCTGCAGACAGCGGGGCCCGGCTGCGGGATGACGGTCTGACTCCTGGAGTGGGGCGGGGAAGGCTGTGATGGCCCCACTTACGTGTCCAGCATGTTGGGGTCGGCGAAGACAGAGAAGAGGTCTTTGTCCTGGAGTACCCCTGCAAGAGACCAGGGCTGAGCCCAGAGAAGGAACTCTGGCCAGACCTGAGGGAGGACAGGTTGCGGGTCTCCAAGCACCCAGTGTCATAGGGATCCAGGGCCGCAGGGCAGCCTGTGAGGGAGGCCAGGTGGGCAACCCCCTCTGACCCCCACTGAGGGCCCATATACTCTAGCTGCTTTCTTGCTGTCCCAGGGGTGTTCCTTGATCCATTAAGGTGTGTATGAAGCCATCCCTGCTTGCTGTGATGTGGGCTAAGAGCCCTGGGATGTCTCCTCCCACTCATCTTGCCATGTGGGCTGGACAGTGGCCACACCCTGGGCCTGAACACACTCGGCAGGCACAAGGAGCACGCCCTGGTGCCGCCCTGGTGCCGCTCTGTCTCCCCAAACATGGCCACGGAATAAGCAGGGACATTGCCTCTACCCACCTTCTCTCCCACACACCCCCGTGTTCTCCGGTTCAAGCCCACACTTACCCAGAGCCACAGGGTCGCTGCTAAGGCCTGGGGTAGCCACAATGATTTGGTCCAGGGACTCCTTGTTGCTGAGCATCTTAAACACCTGCAGGAGACAGCAGGGGCACTGAGCACTCCTACCAGCCCAGGGCCCTCACCAGACACCTGCTCTGCCAGAAGACAGCTTCCCTCTAGGCACACGTGTGTCAAATGTTGGGGGGCGGGGTGCAGCAAGGCCTGGGGTTCTCTTTGGACAAGAAAACAAACAATAAAAATGAAAAACCTAATAACAGGGTAAACCTTAATCTCTGCAATTTTGCCCCATGTGCAGTTCGAACACCTTCAGAATGCAAGCTCTCACTGCCAGCCTGGCAGCTAAGCTTTTCTACATCCCGACACAGCTTCAAGTCCATGTTCACCCCGACTGTAAAGCTAGCAGCTGACTCCTCTGGTCTATCAGCTCTGTCAGGGCAAGGCAGCAGCCTGGCTCCCCAGAAGGAAATCCCAGGTACGAATAGGTCAGCCAGAGGTGGCACGTGGATCTCCCAGCCGTCACCATGCTTGCTCCGCGGCAGAGTCTATCATTGCTAAAAGGAAGTGTGGCCGGCCATGCTGGCATTCCACACAGGTGCCAGCTAGGAGTCCTGGCTGCTCTACTTCCCATCTAGCTCCCTGCTTGTGGCCTGGGAAAGTAGTGGAGGATGGCTTAAGGCACCTCCAAGGGAGACCAGGAAGAAGCTCCTGGTTTTGGATCAGCTCAGCTCCAGCCATTGAGGTCATTCGGGGAGTGAACCAGTGATGGAAGATGTCTCTTTTCTTCACTGTCTATCACTCTGCCTCTCAAATAAATAAATCTTTAATTAAAAAAAAAAAAACAAAAAAACAAAAAAAGGAGTCCACACAGTGTGGCTGAGATCAGCTCTCTGGGCTCTGCTGAGGGCAAAGCCTCCCCAGGAACTCTCAGTTTCTGTGGCAACAGACCCCCAGCACCCACGCTCCAAAGCGCAGCTGGGCCCCTGTGGCTCCGACGGGGCCCCCTGGTGCTCACCGCCTCCCTGTAGGACGAGCTGCTGTGTAGTGCCGTGTGCAGCACCCGGAACTCCCTCATGGCAGCCGCTCTGTCCACAGGCTCTGTAGGGACAAGACGACATGCAAGCTATGGACATGGGTGACACTGTGTTAGCCTCAGCATGCCCAGGTACATATGGCCTGGTTAGTGAGCTCTCTCCCCTTTCACTTCCCAGGAAGGAGTGTCCTGTCACAAAAACCCTTTCTGGGCCACACGGGCGAAGGTAAGACTCTCTGGGACTTGGCATGGTAGCCTAGTGGCTAAAGTCTTCGTCTTGCACGCGTTGGAATCCCTTATGGGCAAGCTGCCCCAATTCCCATCCAGCTCCTTGCTTGTGGCCTAAGAAAGCAGTGGAGGATGGCTTGACGCCTGGGGACCTTGCAACTGCATGGGAGACCTGGAACCAGCGGACAGAAGATCTTTCTGTCTCTCCTTCTCTCTGTATGTCTGCCTTTCCTATATATATATAAAGATAGTGCTCTGTATTGAGTGCCTTCAAAGAGATAAACACACCAGAGTTCTAGGACCTGGTGGTGGCGGAGGGAGGACTTTTAGGATCAGGACTTTTAAGATTTATTTATTTGTTTGTTTATTTTATTAGAAAGACAGATATACAGAGAGAAGGAAAGACAGAAAGATTCTCCATCCACTGGCTCACTCCCTAAGTAGTCACAACAGCCGGCGACTGTGGCAGCGACTTGTGTGTGCAAAGAGAAAAGTCATGACTGACACGACAGACTCTCATAAGGATTTAAAAGAGGTACACGCTGTCAGGGCTGTAATGATCGGAGTGCCCGTGTCACAGTATGGTAAGAAATACACCACCAGAATGCTGTATATGTTCTCCAGCCCAGCTGTCTCATGCACCTGCTCCCAGCCGGGAGGTGGGGGGCAGGAGTGGAACACAGCGCTGAAGTCAGGTGTCAGAACTGGGCCACTGTGTTCTCTCTGACGTTTCCTTGCAAGTTTCTCCAAGATGGTTATGAATCAACACACACGAAAACACGCTGTACTTCCAGGGCCCTTGACCAACTCTCAGCCCATACCTCAAAGCAAGCATGTCACCAGGCTCCAACTCCTTTTCAATTTCTGGACACCGCACATACACAAAGGCATTTCCCAGAAAGTTGGTGGAAAACGGGATTGGAAGATACGCTTTCATGGCTGGCAATGTGGCATAATGGGTGAAGTCACTGCCAGCATCCCACCCGGGCGCTGGTTTGAGTTGTAGCTGCTCTACTTCTGATCCAGCTCCCTGCTAATACAAGATAAATCAAGTGCCCAGGCCCCTCACCCACATGGGAGACCCGGATGAAGCTCCTGGCTTCAACTCGGCACAGGCCTGACTAGCCTGACCATGGCCTTTTGGGGAGCGAACCCTTTCTCTGTCTCTTCCCAGCCCCTTTCTCCATAACTCTGCCTTTTGAATAAATACATCTTAAAAACAAACAAACAGGGCCCGGCGCGGTGGCGCAAGTGGTTAAAGGTCCTCGCCTTGCACGCCCGGGATCCCATATGGGCGCCGGTTCTAATCCCGGCAGCCCCGCTTCCCTTCCAGCTCCCTGCTTGTGGCCTGGGAGAGCAGTCGAGGACGGCCCAAAGCTTTGGGAACCTGCACCCGCGTGGGAGACCCAGAAGAGGCTCCTGGCTTCGGATTGGCATAGTATCGACCCGTTGCGCTCACTTGGGGAGTGAATCATCGGATGGAAGATCTTCCTCTCTGTCTCTCCTCTCTGTACATCCGCCTTTCCAATAACAAAATAATAAAAATAAATCTTTAAAAACAAACAAACAAACAAACAAAAGTTTACTGGGCTAAATCCTCGCCTCACATTTGCCGGGATCCCACATGGGCACCAGTTCATGTCCAAGCTGTTTCACTGTGTTGGATCCAGTGTTCATGTCCAGGTTGTTTCAGTTTCCAGCTCCCTGCTTATGGCCTGGGAGGACAGCCCTAAGCCTTGGGACCCTGCACCTACATGGGAGACCTGGAAGAAGCTCCTGTCCCCTGGCTTCAGATCAGTTCATCTCTGGCTGTTGTGACTACTTAGGGAGTGAGCCAGTGGATGAAGAATCTTTCTGTCTTTCCTTCTCTCTGTATATCTGTCTTTCTAATAAAATAAACAAACAAATAAATAAATCTTAAAAAAAAAAACACTGTTGAAAAAAAATACATTGGCACAGAAAACTTCTGCCATCTGTCTGAATAAGATTCGGTAGCTCTCTCGGTTCTACTGGGTTAATTCAGAACCCAGTCCGTTTCACAGGAGAGGAGATGGGCGAAGAGCGGGGAGCAGCAGGATACTCACCCAGGGCCAGGCTTTCCAAGCCACTCCCTGTCAACATACAGACCATGTACCACCTGGCTCCAGGGTAATTCTCCTGGGATCCAATTTAGCAGCCCGGTCCTGGGCACAGTCTTCCATGAACACCTGATGCCAACTCAAGCCCGTACTGACCATGAACTCCACCCTGGCTCTGGGGAAGGCGCGGGAAGGTACACAAGAACCCATGACCTGACTAGGGAGCTCTCGGCAATAGGAGAAATGAAAACTGGATACAGCAGACGAACACAGGCTCACACACGCCAGCTGGGATTTCAAAAGCCATGTGGGTTCCTGCTGGGCAGCAGGACGACTGAGATGGACAGCCATTACTGACAGGGATGGGAACCTGGCTGCCTCCCGGGATCATTCCAGAAGGTATCTGAGGTTAAGGGAACAGAAGTTCCCAGGGTGCACGGGATAAGGGACTCCGAGCTTCAATAGGGCAGGGACACATAAGCAGAAGGCGGACCTACTCACGGAGTAGCAGCCTGTGGCTGGAGCTTGGTGTGCACATCCCTGAGCGAGGAGCAAGGCTGAGGTGAGACCCCCCCCATACACACCCAAAGGGCTCTATCCAGCCCACAGAGGATGGCCGGAGCTGACAGGCTCTCATCCAGGGGGAGAGCCCGAGATGTGGAAAAAGCTCACAGACGAGGTCCAAACTGCGCCATGAAACAATTCCTTCAGGGAGCTGCAGGTTTCTTTGCATCTCCTCCACAAGGTCCAGGAGGAGATGAGAGGAGGCCTGAGAGAAGGGGGTGGTCTCTGTGGCAGCTCTGGGTCGAGGGGGAAGGTCCTTACCGCAGCTCTTACACTTGTTTTCTAAGTAGGTGACCTTGAGCAAACGCCCTCCAAGGCTCTCCTTTTCCCCTACTGAAGGCCAAGGCTGCCACCGCGTCCGCGGGGCCGCTGGGATGATAAAGTATGGTATCAGAGGGATTGGCTGGCTCACGGGAGCCCTCCAGTGTTTCTCTCCTTCTGTCCTTGTTTATCAGCCAAAGAGCAGGGGACGCGCCCATGCCCAAGCAGGCTGGGCTTCCTGCCCTGGGCCGGGATATGGGGGGTAGGCTTCAGCTGGTGGTGGCAGGTTATGGGGACACTGTGCTCTGAGGGAGGGTTGCAGGAGAAAGGGCATGATTTCACAATGGTCTTAAGAATCCTTTTCTAAAAGGAAGACTAGAGTAAGATGATAGCCCTGCATCGTAGGAAGAGCAGTGTGCCAGGAGACAGACCCAATTGTGGTCTGGGCGAGCTGTAGGTTTTTTCTTTTTGTCTCCGTCCTGGATCCTGTTTCTGGCCTGAGCTGCGATGGTCTCAGGTGTCCCTGCCTGAGGCTGGGGGTAGGTACAGCTGCTCCTGTACTCAGGCCCTGCAGAGGCCTGGCTGCAAGGGCTGTCTTTCTCTCTTTCACTCACTGCCAAGGCACATTTATAAGTGGAAATTCAAGTTCAGGCTGACAGGTGATCACAGCATTCACCGATAGCATAAAAATTAGTCAATGTCTTTCACACAGCTCAGTTGCATCGTGGGGTGGGGGTTGGCCCTTGAAAGCCACACATATGTGAGTTCTGAACTGTGAATTCCAAGCAGCCCAGTGCCCCTGCGAGAGGACTGGGAGCTCTGGGGGCTTTGTAAAGAGCCACAGCAAAACCTGCTAATGACGCCTGAGGTGGCAGGTGCTGAGATGTGCTGGAGAGTCTGCCAACAAGAGGAAAGACCAGAGCATGAACAGGGCCCACAACAACAGCACTAAGGAAAAGGTACAGAGCTCCTGGACACTGGACACGCCCCCTGAGCCACATCCCCGCCTCCTGAGAGGGCAGTGGGCGGAGCTTGCAAAGCAGAGACCTCTCCTGGCCTGAGTGCCAACAGGGTACAATTCAGTTAATAAGTTAATAATAAAGACAGCCCTGGCCACTGCTTGGGGAACACATGGACCCTTTCTCACACATACCTTGGCCGCCTGCCTGATGGGCAACCCCCTCACCCACTCACCCGGCTTCTGATCGGGCTCAGGCCATGACTTGCGTAGGACGTGGACAGTGGACCCAGGCTGGATGCCGTAGAAGTCCAGGGTCTGGTCATCTTTCAGCTTCCGGCCGCAGTAGATCAAGTCTGAAAAAAAAAAAACCCAAATAGCCCTTTTACATTCTTCTCTTTAGAACCATTTCAACACGGTTTCCTGGCCTCTGAGAAGTCGATTTTGGTTGCACATACAGGTGGGGAGTGATATATGCTTTAAAAGATGACTTTATTTAATACATTAAAAAAGACTGAATCGCTTATTTGAAAGGCAGTTTTTCAGAGAGGCAAAGTAAGGGATTTTCCAGCCTCTGGTTCACTCCCCAAATGGCCCCAGCAGCCTCAGCTAAGCTGGCCTGAAACCAGGAGCCAAGAGCTTCTTTCCAGTCTCCCACATGGGTTTAGCCTCTCAAGCAATTACGCCCTCCTCCACTGCTCTCCCAGGTACATTAGCGGGGAGCTGGATCGGAAGTGGAGCAGCTGGGATTCTAACTGGCACCCACGTGAGATGCTGGCACTGCAGGTAGCACTTCAAATTATACCACAGCACCTGCCCCAACCCCAATAGATTTTTTTTTTTTTAATTTATTTGAAAGGCAGAGCAATGCAGAAAAAGACAGGTGTCTTCCATCAGTGGCCAGGCTGCAGTCAGCAACCCAGCCCTCCATCTGGGTCTCCCACACAGGTGGCAAGGGAACAAAACACTGGAGCCATCATCTGCTGCACTCCCGCATGCATTAGCAGAGTCAATCAGCTCAAAGCAGGCACCAAACCAACATGCCAATGTGGGACACTGGCATCTTGACTGGTGTGGTCTAACCTGCTCTATCGCAACGATGGTCCAATAAAAAGGTTTGAACAACAACTGTTAATGAGGACAAACTCATAAAATCGAGTGACACAGAAACTACCCACAGAACACTGCTGTATTTCAAGGCATGGAAAAAATGTAACCAACAAAATGATTCAAAACAGGCGTGCCTTTTCCACCACCTGGGTCCCTGGGCCATTATAAGTTACATTGTAACATGATGCTGTTTACACTCCTCCTCCCTCTTGGACTGCCCTTGTCTTCATCACTTTCTCGTTCATAGCCTTCTTCCCATCAACAACAAGCAACCATCCTCTTAAACCACTCCAATGCTAGGAGCTGAGATCCTTTCCCCAAGCGACTGCTCATTCTTCCCAACCCACCCTAATGGCTTGCTTATCCAGCGAGAATTCCATGAGGTCACAGGCAAAGAACTTCCCGATGAGGCAGTTCAGTACAAACAGGCCCGAAATGGCAACTAGATGTTTTACTGTAAGATTTATGTTTTTGTTGATCCGGCACCCACTTCCCCAAAGTTATTAACTTTTTTTTAAGATTTATTTTTATCAGAAAGGCAAATATAGAGAGAGAAAGATCTTCTGTCCGCTGGTTCACTCTCCAAGTGGCAGCAACAAATAGAGCTGAGCTGATCCGAAGCCAGAAGTCTCCTCTGGGTCTCCCATGTGGGTTCTGGGCCATCCTCCACCACTTTCTGAGGGCTATGAGCAGGGAGCTAGACGGGAAGTGGAGTAGCTGGTGCTGGGGTCCGTGCAGTGGGTGTGGAAGACACGAAGGTGTTAAGAGTATTGTTCCATTGCAGGCAGGGCTGCAAGGAATTTCCCACTGCATGGCAGGGCCCATGGATGTCTCTCCAACCACCTGAGTGCAGCTCCACCTCCCTTTGCATGGACACCGGACAACCCCACTGAGATTTCTATAATCTATTTAGCCATTGTCTGCCTCTGTGGAGTTGGTCTTTACTATCAATGTGAGCTTGGAAGCTGATGTTGCTGATATGGTCTTAGCAAAAGGGCCCTTTTACTATTCATGCTGTCTCTGTCTCTGCTGCCCCCGTTGACCATCCTTGATCTTTAGCTTCCTCCTTCTGTGATGCATTTCCTCCCTTAACCAATTCAACATTAAGTTGTAGAATGAGGATTGTAGTAGGAATGTGTTACTGATTGATATACACCATCTATGGAGAACTTCTACTGAGAGCTTTAAGGTGAAACAAACGGCAGAATTATTCTTGGAAATACCCACTTAACCATGACGTAAAAAGTCTATGCCAGAGTTTGTGACTACTTCTGTATAAATAAAGCAGACAGCTTTCTCGCATTGTCCATTATGACCCTGAAATTGTAGTGGTCTATTTCGTTCCTCTTTATGCCTAATCCATGCACCCTTCGTGAGTCCCTAACTCAGCTGGACCTGGACTCTGGCAAGCAGGGACACAAACCGGCGCCGATACAGGATCCCGGAGGATGACGAAAGGCAAGGATTTAACTAGTAGACTATTACGCCAGGCCTTGGCATTAACATTTTGAGATAAGAAAGCTAAGCTCTTAACTCTGGGAGCATCCTCCCAGAGAAGCAACCCAACCACATGGTCCACAGAGACTCACCAATCAGCTCGGGGTCTGGAACGGACTCCTGGAGTTTGCCAGCAATGAGCTGCTTCAGAAACGAGATGCTATAGCATCCCAGCGAGTATTCACCCAGCTCTGTCTCCGGCAAGCGGAGAACAGACTTGGGGGCAAGGGGTTGGTCAGCCAGCTTCACTGCCAGGTGCCAGTCTGAGAGAGACATCCTCTCTCTTTCGCGCTCTCTCTTTCTCCCTAGGAAACAACAGAAGTTTTAGTGGCTGCGGGACAGACCGATCTCCCCCCACCCCAGGCCCACCCACGGAGGCGTTGAATAAGAGATGGTTCAACCTCACTGCAGGTCAAGGAGCACAGGATTACAACTGATAGGATATCATTTATATAAGAACAACCAAATGGATAGCATGTGAATGAGAACCCTTGGAGAGATATACAAAATAAGTGTGTTCCAAACAAGGGTATAGAAACTGGGTTCCGTAGATAAGCTCCTCCCTTACCCTAAGTGACCCTCAGTCTATAAAAGTCTGATGCCACTAATCAACTTTGGCTGCACCAAGTTGCCTGCTGCAGGATAGCTCACACTTCACAAAGTGCCAGAGAAGCACAGGATGACAGACATTACGGGGCCAGAACTAGAATGTCACCCATCCTGCGAAGGATCAAATGAACCCATTCCAGCCCTCTCCTTGCTGTACACCCACTTATTTTTCCTTCACCAACTCTTGCCTTTCCAAACATCCATGCTGCCAACTCAACTCATCATTTCAATTTTATTTGTTTACATTGCATTTGCAAGGCACAGAGAGGCAGATGTCTCCCCATTACGCATCCAGCAGCGTTGGGACAGGCCATAGCCAGGAGCCTGGAACTCAGTAAGGTGTCTCAAGGAGAATGGCAGGGATCCAATACTGGAGCCTTCCCCCTGCCTTCCAGGGTGCAAGGCAAGCGGAAGTGCTGGAATTCGATGCCAGGCACCCATGCAGGATATGAGTGCCCGGAGTCCACACCCTCGCCAAGTTAACACACAGGTTTGATCAAGCACTTTCTTTGCTCAGGATCACTGCAGTGGCTCTAAGCCACTTGGGAGAATAAGCGTGAACTTCATGGCCACTGAGTACAGCCCCTGGAAGTGCTGCTCCCCATCAGAGCTCTGCCCTGCCCCCCAACAGCAACCCCACTCTGCTTCCAGTCCTCCAATTGACATCTCTGTGGATCCATTGGACAAATTTCTCTTCTGTGGCCTTTTGGCATATCCTACCGAGACCAACCTCAACTCAACATCAGTGCTTGCTCTTTTTCCTGGAGGTAAAAGGGCGCCTCCTCCCAACTCTCCTGCTCTACCCTTGTGCCCCAGTTCCTGAAGGCCCTCAACATTTTCGTCTTCATGATCTCCCATGCCTGACACATATGGATGACCAAAAGAAACACCATAAAGGTGCAAGAATCGTGTAAGACAAGCCAAATTCTTGGCTACAGGTTTCCTTGAGAAGGAAAAGGGCTATGCGGTTTCCCCAAAGAAGGGCAGAAAGGAACAACAGAAGGACTGTTCGGTCCACCAAGCTCACTCAATCCGCACAGGTGCTCCCCGGGGTTGGCATGTCCAGCCCTATTTGCACATCAAGATTCAGACAGGGGCGGTTACTCGGCCCAAGGTCACGGCAGGGCCAAGGGGGCAGGGCGCTTCCGGGGGCGCCCCCACCCGCCTCGCGGAGCCCGTCCACCGCCCCTACACCCCACCGCACCACACCCGCCCCCCACGTGCAGCCCGGCGCCCTCACCCGTCCCGCGGAAGGAGCCCGGCCGCTGAGCCGCCGGTGTAAACACTCCTCACTCTGACCCTCGCGCCGGAAGCCGGAAGATTCGCGCTGCATCATGGGAGTTGTAGTTCCAGCAGCGAACACCACCATCTCCTGGGAAAAAGACCGCGGTGGATCCGTGGGGCTACGCTTCGCTTCCGGTTCCGGGGAGGGCATGGTTTCTAGGACGCTGGAAACGCTGGAAACGCCTGTGGTGGGGGCAGTGGTCCGCTCTTCCCACTGAATGGTTCTAACCCTTACACAGCCTGCGTCTGTGGGGCGAAGACCAAGGGCAGTTCTCGCGCGTCCTCTGAGAGGTGTGTGGGGGAGACGCCCGCAGGCCGCCTCCGACCCTCTTCCCACCGCGACTTTGCCCCGTCCCCCGAGGGAGGTCCGTCCCCGCTGCCTTCTCCGTGGGGCCGGCCAGGGTCCTCGGGAAGTCGGTCCCCGAGGCGGCGTTCACGGGACGCCCTGGCCGTCCACCACCGTGGGCCCCTGCCAGGATGACCATCCCTCTGCCAGGTTCCTTATGACTGCCCCCCAAGTAGCTCCTTTCCTCCTCCCACCCGCCATTAGCCACACCACGTATGTCAGGATGGCTTCCTACCGGGCTACCCTTAAGTGGGACCCTCTCTCTTCAGTTTACTAAAGTTACTTGCAGCTGAAACCTGGATTTTTTTTTTTTAAGATTTAGTTATTTTTATTGGAAAGTCAGATATACAGAGAGGAGGAGAGACAGAGAGGAAGATCCTCCATCCGATGGTTTACTCCCCAAGTGACTGCAACAGCTGGAGCTAAGCCAGTCCGAAGCCAGGAGCCAGGAACTTCCTCCAGGTCTCCCACATGGGTGCAGGGTCCCAAAGCTTTGGGCTGTCCTCATCTGCTTTCCCAGGCCACAAGCAGGGAGTTGAATAGGAAGCAGGGCCACTGGGATTAGAACCAGCGCCATAGTGAGATCCCAACGTGTGCAAGGCAAGGGCTTTGACCACCACGCTATTGTGCCGGGCCCTGAACCCTGAATTTCATTGTTTCTTATGAAGCTTCTGAATATGGGGCTGCCTGTAGAAGCAGCCCAGGGATACTGTTCCAAAGTGGTACTGAGTATAGAGACACTCATCAACATCCTGTTTATGCTGAATTCCTTTTCATCTCCTTGGGGGGAGTTGACTCTGGCTAGCTCATCCTCCTCTTCAGTGGACCAGAACCTGGCATAGAGTAGGTGACCAATATAAGTGTTGGGTAGACTGTTCAGGGCAACGTTGTCAACTATAGTTATCTTGCTTTGTAAGAGAGGTGAGGAGCAAACAAGTAAGCCACTAACTCAAGAACAAACAGGTTCTTCGGGGACCAAGTTGGCAAGTAGGTGCTGCGCCCCAATGGGAGGGCCTTAGAAGGAATCAGAAGCTTGGGCACAAGAGCAGGTTGGATGCGCAGGTGCCGGATAGAAGCAAGGCATGGACAGCCGGCCTGTCCACGTTGGGGACCACTATGCCTGTGTCAGCTGAAAATGCGCAATCATTCATGAAGCCTTAGAGAGATTCGGCCTGCTCAGCATCTCCATTAGGCAATAAGTGGACACTGACATTTTAAAAATAACATTTTTTTCTGCATATAGATTAGTATAGGGTTTCTGGGTCTGGCAGGACAGCCGTGGAAGTCAGCTGCAACTACCCTCGTTACAACAGACATACACTGAAGGTCACGGAGCTGTGATCCCAGGAGATATGGAAACTCCCCCCCAGCCGGACATGAGGGTGGAACTGAAACCCTGATGCTGAATTTGAGAGTGGGCTGAGGCCCTTCCCAGAAAGATTTGCGGTTTTGGACATCTTGCTGGGAGTTTTTGGTTTAACGTCGTTGGGGTCACTGGTTGAAACTAACACCTTTGAATGGAGTTGAAACCCTTAAAATATTTTCACCCTAAGGGAAAGGGTAGACTCCTCCCCCACCCCTCCCCCAAAAAAAGCATCAACCCTCAAGAGAAGGTAAGAAAAATTCTCTCAGCTTGGTTTTGAGGGGAGAGCAGTGTGAGGGGAATTGGTGTGTGAAGGAGTTGTCTTCCCTGAGAACTAGACACAAGAAATCTGTGTACAAGTTTGAGGTCAGACTTTCGAAGATTGTCCAGGAACGTCCAAAATCGGTCCGGAAGCTCCTAGAAAAGTAACAGATTGTCTTTGGAGCAACATGGAAAACCCAAGCCATCTGTCAGGAAATAAAGCCAAACTAAACTTGTGTATATGAAGAAACAAAGAATTAACATGTACTTACGTAAAATTTTATTACGAGAAAGAGTCATAAATCAGGTGTCTATATGAGTCAGTTGCTGTCAGTTCTGTTCCTTAAGTGGGTTTTTCTTTAAATTTTTTTTTTTTTTCATTTTACTGAATGGCAGGGATCTTCCATCTCCTGGTTTACCCCCTAAATGCCTGCAACAAATTGAGGCCAGGCAAGGTTGAATGCAGGAACCAGGACTCCATCCAGTTCTCCCACGTGCATCACAGGGACCCAAGCACTGGGCGTTACCTGCTGCTTCCCAGCCTACTGGAGTCCAAAGGGGAGTCCCTACCCTAACCCAGGCATCCCCAGGATGAAAGAAGCTCCTGGCTCCTGACTTTGGATCAGCTCAGCTCCAGCTGTTGCAGCCATTTGAGGAGCAAACTAGCTGAGTCAATCCAAAACTAGAAGCCGGGAACCTCCTCTGGTTCTCCCATATATGTGCAGAGTCCCAAGGCTTTGGGCTGTCCTTTTCGGTTTTCCTAGGCCACAAGCAGGGAACTGGAAGGGAAGTGGAGCAGCCAAGACTCAAACCTGCTCCCATATGGAGCAATACATGCTGGCATACATGAGAATCAAGACAGGGTATGGGCTGTGCCCAGCTGGGATAAGCTGCAATACCCACCAGCAAGAGCTGAGGCTGTAGCTTGACCATGCCAGGCTGGCTTGAAGCACTGCCAGCAAGACCTGGGGCCTAGGAATTAACCTGATAGAGGAACTCTGGGGACTCTCCTGCTTGACTGCAGCTCCCACTAGTGAGTACAAGAGTTATGGGCAGACCAAGCTGGGCAATGCTGCCTTGGGGCTCTCCATGTCAGTCTAGGCCGAAACATCTGCCAGTACTTGCAAGATCTGGAGCTGGGAGAAGGCTTGGTAGGGGAACTTGGGAAACTCCTTTGCTAGGTCGTAGCTTCCTCTAATGAGCTTGAGAGCTGGGGCTGGGGGCGGTCCAGGCTAAACTGGGCTGCAGCACCCGTGGGCATATGTGTGAGCTGGGGCTGGGGGTAGATCAGGCTGGACCAGTTCACAACACACATGCAAGTAAGAGCCAGGATGGGAGACAGACCAGGTCAAGTTGAACTGCAACACCTGCTAGTTCACATGAGAGTTGGGGTTGGACCAGACTGGGCTGGACTGCTGTACCCACCAGCAAAAGCTGGGACTAGGAATGGACCAGGCTGAAGCAGGCTGTATACCTGCTGGTGAATGCTGAGTCTAGGGGAAGACCATCTCTGACTGGGCCACAACACTTGCTGACATAAAACCCTGTGCTGGGAATGGGCCCAGTAGGGAACTTGAGGTAACTCCCTTGCTAGGCCACTGCTAGGTGTGATAGCTGGCACTGGGGGTAGGCCAGGTTGGGCTAGGCTGGCACACATGAGAGCCAGAATGGGTGTGAGCTAGCCAGGCTAACCACAGAACCAGCTGGCAAGTGCCAGGATTGGATGCAAGTCACGTCAGGCTAGACCTCAGTACTCCCTTGCAGGCGCAAGGTCAAGACTGAGGGGATGCCTGGCAGAGGAAGCACGGGAATTCTCCTGCTAGGCTGTACCCTTCTGCTGGTGAATATGGGAACCAGGACAAGGTGGCAGCACTTTTCGGCATACATGTGGGCCTGGTTTGGTGACAGGTTAAATTAAGCTAAGCTGCAGCACCCATGGGTCTTCCCTGAGAGCTGGATGGGACATGGGCTGGGCCAGGGTAGGCCTCAGCAGAGGCAGAAACTGGGTTTGGGAGCAGGTCTAATGGGATTTATTGGGGGTTGCCCCCACTAGGCCACGGCACCTGCTGGAATGCGTGAAGACCAGGTCTGTGGCAGGCTGGCTGGACCAGACTACAGTACCCATCAGGTCATGTGAGATTTGAGGCTGGGGTGGAAACAACCAGGCAGCTGCATCCAATGGTATGTGCATTGGCTGGTGCAGGTGGCAGACTGCACCTGACCTTGCACTGGCTGTTACACACAAAAAGTTAAGTCTGAGGTCACCTCATACAAGATTTCTTGTGGACTTCCCCAGCTAGACCACTGGACGCAGACCGTTCTGGAAAATCACAGGATGTGTGGTTTGATGTTACAGTGCATGTATTGGGACTGTCCCTCCTCAGTGGTTGATGCGTGTATAGTAGACAGCATGTCCAGATGCACACGGGGGACATGATGGCCAGCTCATCTAGGCCAGCAGGGGACATCATCATAGGATGGACAGCAGAACAGGTTGAACATGTGCTGGCCAACATGTTCTGGGTCTGTGGATGCACTAAAGTTAACAAAGGTGGGCTTTGTTAACCAATAAACCGAGGAAAGATTTTCTCAACCATGGAGCAGTGACACCAGCAATTTCTCAGAACTGTCGAAACTGTCCACCATCCTCGGGTGCTGATGTAGTTTGACAGCAAGGAGTGCTTTGCTCCCACCCTCCTTCCCCCTTCCCTGTGGACACAGGAGAAGAGAAAAAGAAAACAACCTTAAACATTTGTCTCACCCATCCTCCTCCATTCCTGATCCTCCCTACCCTAATCAGAGACCCAAATGGCCCACTTATAAACAGTATTAAAAAGAAAATAAGACACTAAAAAAAAAAAAAAAGAGGATATGGATTTTTCACAGACCTCTTGAAGTGTTCTCCTGTGTGATCTGACGCTCTGTTCTGTGCCTGACCTTTTTCCTTTGGCCCCGTCATCCCATGGGAATTCTGTGTGGTGCTGCTCCGAGCTTTTGGCCTGAACTCCCTGCCCTGGCGTTGCTCAGGGAGGGCTCCGTGGGCCCTGGAGGC